TGACGTTGGGTGGTGTTACGTCAAATCTGATGCGTCATGTCCTATTTGTTTTTACCCCTATCAAGTATCACATTAACATTCAACATCAAATACTGGTTATACAAGAAGAAATGATAAAAAGTAAAAAAAAAGGTAATATCAATCCTTGGGAAAATTCCAAAGGCAACAAAGCACATTACTGCATACTAACTGTGCAAGTATCAGTCTGGCGAATCCACATAATTGAGACACATTTTGTACTAAATGTGATCGGCTTTATAATCTAAAGCGATTAAAATCACTTTTGGACCACTCTAGTCCTAATTAACAATCTTAATACATACCATGTTAACTGAGAATTGACACTCGATCAGAAGGACCCAACTCACAACCAAAACCTAATGAAACTTGGAGTTAAGATCCTAAAGATTAGGTATGGGACAAAGATTGAACCCATCAGGAATTTAGGGCAAGTCACCACTGAATCTCTTTCTTATGGTTTGTCTTCATCTATCTTCTTCTTCCTTTTCTTTTGCTTATCTCCTTACAAAGTTCTTCAACCTTTTTCCCCTATAAACTAGTTAGGTCATAGAGTTATAGGCTTTGTGCAAATTTTCATTTGGTTACTGACTAATTTTTGTTGACTAGCATACTGATTTTGTATTAGTTAACCTCCTAGCTAATCTTTATTTTGTTGTGTTCATCACATTGATCTACTTTGGACAAAGGTAGACCAAAGATAAACCAAAGAGAACAGTTTATCTGATCCAAATCCTATGTGACAACGAAATGGTAGGATCTGGGCCCAAATCAGGTTCTGGTTCGAGATAATCGGTAGTCCAGAATTGGCTCAACCAATACAACTAACACCATGGTACATTCAAATAGAGCTTGAAAATGAAATGTCAAGAATAAGAACTTACAAGGCTCATCAACAGCACAAAGTATATCCTTAAACTATAAAGAAATTTGCAGTAAGATGATATATAAAAGTTCCAGCATAAATATTTTATTTTTGGAGTCTTGTAGAATCCCCTGAGAACAAGTTCAATTTCATCAATCACAGACCTAAAGAAGTTGAGATAAAAACTAGATTGGTCAAATATCTGATCATTAACAGCATATTTTCCAGCATAAATATTTTAACAGGCATGCACAGACCAAAAGGTCAGCAGAAGAATATAAAGAGAGCCTTGCTGCATTGCAAACATCATGAAGAAAACAAAAATAGATGATACCCATCAGCATTAGCAAATCAAATAGCACAGAGAATTTCTGTAACTCCCATGCAGGAATAAATCTCTAATTATCAACATGGTGTTTGTAGTACAAATGGAGCATGAAAAAAATCCAAAACAATGTAGAAGGTCCAGTTCTTCACCAAATACCATGAAGAGATTTATACCATATTTTGAGAGCGCTTATTATGAAAATGGATCAGTAATAAACAAAGCATCATTCCCCATAATAAAGAATGACATTTCTATAGAATTTATAACAAAAAGAATTACAGAGATATTTATGTAGGCTATAATACAGCACAATTTATCAGACAAAACTTCTCCTAATTGGCACCACCTGAAAATGATTTATTATAAGCTACACATTAGCAGGAGCCTCACACATCGGGCAGTCCTAGTGAGAGACTTCCTCTACGACAGATTTTGACTCTTATTATATTCATATCTCATCACTGAAAGGTGGTTCAGGTGCCAGGATCCGGATGATTTCACTGAAACACACTGCAACCAATAACCTAACTTCTTTGTCTTTATGCTGAAGTAAGTTAATTTGAGAAAGAGAATGGCTTAATGATCCTAATGCAATCTGTAAAGTAGAAGACTGATTCAACTTCGATAAAGCGTCTTCAGCCTCCTGCACAGGGAGAAGGGAAGGGTGAGAAAAATCAGAAAGTTAAAAACTTCTGCAAAAAATATTATGGTGAAATCCGAAAACATCAAACTGGAAAAATAATAAACACAAGATCCTTTCACCTAATGTTAAATTGTCAACTACCAAATCGAGAAAAGTGCAGCAAGGTAGCAATAATTTATAAAAAACAGGAATAATTGCACTCCGGTCAACTACATGTTTCCAGTAGATGTACAAACTAGTGGTTTAATCTTAATAGCCGAGGGAAAAGGGAACAAGCAAAAAATAGGCGAGCAACTTGTACCAGTTCCAAAATGACCCCGTTGGCATTCCGACAAAGACATAGCAATCATTCGAGAAAGTGCATGCAAGAAGCAAAACCATACCTCACGATTCAAAAGAAAAGGAGATGATAACTCATAATTGGACAGAGATATTTACATTAAAAACGGACGACGAGAGCGAGGCAAGAGGACCGTGAAATGTAATCAAGGGTTTCGTACCTGGTTGCTGTGACAGACGACGAGTAACAGGATCCCAACGGATGGAGGTTTCTTTCTTGCCATAAATCCCGCTAAAATGTTGTCGCCTGCTAGTCACAATAGCCGTGGGATTATTGGACATCACACGTGGACGGTCAACACGGAGAGGAACGATGAAGGCTGTTACTCATATTTTGTACGAAAAAATATTTCTTTAAAGCCATTATACGCCCACGTGAGATCCTCCACATGTGGGGCCATACCAGCCACCACTCACAAGGCAGGTAGGACCCACAATGATGGTACAATAGTAACACGAAACTACTAGTCGTCAGCCGTTAATTTGAATTTAAGATTATATCTAATAAAAATTTTAAAAAATAAATTAGGATTATAAATAGTAAAATAAGGATTACAAATAGTGATCTCCTAAATTTATCTTATACCTATTCAATTTATCTGAAATCCAATTAAAAATATTTAATCCAATATAAATCGGTTGGATAATATTCCAAAAAATCCAACTAGTTTCATTCCCAAATCACATTAAAAATTACAAGTAAATTGAGCAAACTCAGCTAATTATATAGATACCCAACTTCATCCAGAATTCGATTAAAGCAACTCTGAACTCAGAATAAACAAATCGAAAACTCAAATACCCTACGCCCCCCTCCCCCCCCCCCCGAGCAAGAGCAAAAGGAAAAGCTTGATGAGAAGAAGAAGATAGCTCACCTTTCCTACCTGTTTAATGTCGGGCCAGGAATACTTTGCCACTTGAGGGAGTCACTCGTGGGGCTCCTGCTGCCTTCTTCCATCTCCAATCGCCTGCCATCACCACTTGATGAGTTAGTCAGGAACCCGCAAGCCAAGAATTTTCTTATCTAAATCCGATCATATAAAAGGGCACAAATATTCTATAACAAAATGATTATATATCATAAGCTATAAACATTAAATTTCTCTATGCTAACCTTTCTGCTTATCATAAATCATATTCATTTAGATTTCAATGTTCGGCCATCGTGATTCATCAACCTGCAGAGTGAACCAGCTAGGATCATGAACTACTTCCTTGCTTTCATGGGAAACCTTAACAGATAATCTCAAATTTGTCATACATCCAAAAGCTTGTGGAACAGTCAGCTTAATATGAAAGCACACTACTAATGGCAACGAAATGTACATCCAAGGACAGGCAAACGAAATCTAATGTGGGAAAACACGCTATAATACAAGTACCATATGCATCTCTAGAAGACCACATACAATTGTCAGAGTGACCATGCATCTCTTGGAGTACCATAGAACTCACCATGAAAATCATGCATTTCTATTTGCGTGAAGCATAATGAAGCAGTATATGCCCTTAAACTTCCTTTTTCTAATGTGTAACACGTAACGACAGAAATTGTTTCATAACAAACAAAATATTCTCCAAGAATATCAAAGACCATGTCTTTGATAAAGGAGCCATTGAATTTGCTAGACAACAGCAGCCACTTCTATACAAAAACATCTGACATTTGTTAGGTCATTGCAGCCGATATGCAAATTTCAAGCAATGACCTAATAAGGCATGTAGGTCAATAGGTCCGGAGCCATAGATATTTGATATTACTTATAGTCTTCCCAAATATCATCAAAGATTATGCAAGGCTCATAGAAGTTTGGTTGCCATATTGATCCTCACAGATTGACTCTTCATGGGCAAGATTGAGACTGTTCTTAATGATCTCCAGTGGCTAATGGTTTATTATGTTTCGCTTGAACACCTGGAAAAGAGCTTACGTTATGCTGCTTTTCATAATTTATCACTTTTGTGCTTTTAGATGAGGGAGGTGCATCAGCAAAGCCATAATGTTCAAACTTTTTTTGGCCCCCTTGGAGGGCATGCTATCTCTTTGATCTCTATACAGAATATAGCTTCCGGTACAGCATAATTAGATTTTTGTCTTGATTGCTTAATCTATCAACAGCATTGTCCACTGGAAGCCATTGGAAGCCAAGAATTGTAATAAATTTCTGCTGTTTCGAAGGCAAGGGAGTAACTGAAAGACTACCATTTCTTCTGAAATCCCAATGCTTTGAAATTCTGATATGCTGGAAATTACTTGTCCAACTCACAACTGCAATTTTTTCTTGCATGAAGAAGAGAGAAACAGTACCTTTAGTGTTCGTTGCCTTAGGCGTTATACAAGCAAGCTACCTTCGGAACATAGCCAACTTGCTTGATATGATGGCTTAACTTATCAAGCATCTCAAAAATTCTAGTAGATTTTGGGTGCTTTCTATCCCCAACCGTAAACTCATGAACCATATCATCAAGCTCAATCCAACTGGACCCTGCTGGCTTCTGCTGCCCTGTACCTTTCATCTGAATCCTAGCCATTGCCACACCTTCCCAATGCCTGGCAGCTGCATAAATATTTGACAAAATGGCATAATTCCCAGCATCCGAAATTTCCAATTTTGTCAACTGATCGACTGCCTCTTCAGCAAGATCTACATTGTTATGCACTCTGCATGCACCTAAAAGGCTGCCCCATATGATTGCATTGGGCTCTAAAGGCATGGCCTTTGCAAGGTCAAATGCCTCCTTTAGAAGTCCTCCGCGTCCTAAGATATCGATCAAACAACCATAGTGCTCTATCTCAGGGACAATGCCATAGTCTCTTTCCATACTGTAAAAGTGACAACGAGCCTCTTCGATGAGTCCCATGTGTGTACAAGCACATAGAACACTGATAAATGTCACACCATCGGGCATGATGCCTTCTCTCTTCATCCGAACAAAGAGAGCAAGAGCCATCTCTCCATGCCCATGCATGGCTAACCCTTGAATTATAGAATTCCAGGAAACCGTATCTCGCTCGACCATTCCTTTAAAGACACTCCATGCCTTGTCAAGACACCCACATTTCGAATACATATCGATCAGCGCATTGCACACATGGGTGACAAACCTCAATTTGCTTCTTTTTACATAGGAATGGATCCGTTGACCGATACCTAGCAAGCCGGACTCAGCGCAAGCAGACAATATACTCACGGTTGCAGCAACATCAGGCTCCAATCTTGCTTCTTCCATCTGATCAATCAAAACAGAAGCCTCTTTCGACAGTCCCTTTTCAGCATAACCAGATATCATTATAGTCCAAGTGACCAAGTTCTTGACTGGCATCCTATCAAACAGCATCCTCGCCATGTCCAGGTCTCCTGCCTTGCGATATCCTGACACCACCGTCGACCACGACACAACATTTCTCTCCGGCATTCTATTAAACAAGTTGAAAACATGATCCATCTCGCCAGCCTTGGCAAGCCCATCCAGCAAAGTGTTCCAACTGATAATGTCCCTCTCAGGCATATCATCGAAAAGCTGACGTGCCTCCTTCAGCTCTCCAGCTCTCAGCAAGCCAGCGAGGATTGAATTCCAAGACACAACATCTCTCTGTGGCATTCCATCGAAGACCTTCTTAGCGTCGGCGATGGTGGCAACGCCAGCCTTGGCATATGAATCAATGAGCGCATTAGGGACGAAGATATCCGATAAAAATCCTAGCTTTAGGACGTGGGAGTGGATCATTTGGACGCGGGCGAAGGCGGAAGGACCAGAGCAGGCCCGGAGTAGGAACGAGTACGTGAACTTATCGGGAAACGCGTCGCATTTCTGCATCTGGGCAAAGGTGGTGAAGGCCCGGGAGGACTGAGAGTTGTCGGCGAAAGCGCGGATGAGGACGTTGAAGAGATGGGTGTTGGGATGAGGGACCTGGCGGAAGACAGCGACGGCGGGGAGGATCTGGCGGCAGAGGGAGTAAGCAGAAATGAGCTTGGGAGCGACAAAGGGGTCGCGGTGGAGGTCAGCCTTGAGGATTTGAGCTTGGATTTGCCGCAGGTGGTGGTGGTCGGAGCACCGGTGGAGCTCGGCGACCTTCTGCTCGAGGAGGCGGCGGTGCGAAGTCCACTGGGGCTGGCGAATGGACGCGACAGACATGGAGGGCAAGACTTCGCCGCATGCAGCGCTGGGGTTCGTCGCCAGGGCTGGCTGGTAGAGAGAGAGAGAGAGAGAGAGAGAGAGAGCAACGTGGTTTAAGAATGCCGGCCGAGAAGCTCATGCTACCCTAACATGGTTATCATGCCCAAATAATAATTTTATTCTCAAACTTAATTCTTGACCTAATTTAAGAATCACTCATAAATTCTTCACCAAATTTGTGTTTTGTTCTTCGTGATCATGCTGCTGATCCTTCCTTTGTAAATGTAAAATTCAACTTTTGTAGGCTATTCATACTCAGCCAGCATCAACAACATCGAAGTTCATAAAAACTGCAAAAGATCATCAGCTTCATTCTCTCAATACCGACAGAAACATGCATACAATTATTATCGACTTAAAGCTGCAAATGAACGACATCGACCGAAACCTAATTAATGAGAATTCTGTAAGAAACATATAAAGAATCATAAGCTTCAGCTGCTAAATTTCGATCCCTTATAATAATCCCCTGCACCTCTTAAACTGAAGCACTCTACTAGGCAACGGCAGGCATGTCTTTGAGCCACGAGTCCAGAGGCTTTCCGATGGAGTACACGATGAACCCAATCGCCCGGAGTGTCTCTGGATCGACCACATTACGCCCGTCGAATATGAAGGCTGGCTTCTGCATGTTATCGTAGATCCTCTGGTAGTCCAACTCCTTGAACTCATCCCACTCGGTCAAGATGCAGACGCCGTGTGCCCCCTTGGTGGCCTCGTATGCGTCCCATGTCACGCTCGCCTGCTTCACGGCAGTCGGGCTCATCGGCTGCAGGTGCGCCGGATGGTCCCAATCGAACTTGTTCATCGCGAGGTCGCGTCGGATCTGGTCCTCCGTCACCTGGGGATCGTAGATGCTGATCTTGGCATTGTCCCCCAGGAGACCCTTGCAGACGTCGATCGCAGGGGTCTCCCTCGTGTCCCCGGTGTCCTTCTTGAAAGCGAATCCAAGAACAGCAATCTTCTTCCCTGAGACCGTGTTGAACATGGAGGACACAACCCGGTTCACGAAACGGTTCTTCTGGTAGTCATTGATCTTGATGACCTGCCTCCAGTAGTCGGCCACCTCTGGCAGACCATTGCACTCACATATATAGACCAGATTAAGGATATCTTTCTGGAAACAGGACCCTCCAAATCCAACACTAGCGTTCAAGAACTTGGGGCCAACCCTCGAATCCTTCCCCACGGCATAGGCCACCTCCGACACATTAGCTCCGGTAGCTTCACAGAGTGCAGAAATAGCATTGACTGAGGAGATCCTCTGTGCCAAGAAGGCATTTGCTGCAAGTTTTGACAGCTCCGCAGACCACAGATTGGTGGTGATGATGCGGTCCTCAGGTACCCAGTGGGCATAAACATCCTTCAGTGCTTGAACAGCCTTGCGGCCCTCTGGAGTCTCCCGGCCACCAATGAGAACTCGGTCGGGCTTAAACAGATCCTGGATCGCTGTACCCTCTGCAAGAAACTCTGGGTTCGAGAGGATCTGATACTTGACGCCCCTGCTGTTGTGGGTCAAAATCTTCTCGATGGCCTCTGCGGTCTTGACTGGTACCGTAGATTTCTCGACCACAATCTTGTCGGACTTGGAAACATCAGCGATCATGCGAGCTGCACTTTCCCAGTAGGTCAGGTCAGCTGCCTTGCCTGCTCCAAGGCCCCGAGTTTTGGTAGGAGTGTTCACAGAGACGAAGATGATGTCAGCCTCTGAGACGTGCTGTTCAATGTTGGTGCTGAAGAAAAGATTCTTTCCTCGGCACTGCTTGACTACATCGTCAAGGCCTGGCTCATAAATGGGAAGTTGGTCACTGTTCCATGCTGCAATCCGGCTGACGGAGATATCAACGACGACCACCTCGATGGATGGGCACTTGAAGGCGATCACGGCCATGGTCGGGCCACCAACATAGCCAGCTCCAATGCAGCATATCTTCACCATGTTTCTGGCTTATTGTATGACCTTGAGTGCCTGACATTAATGGTTCAGAAAAATGTTTGTACACTTGTGAGGGGATTAATTTACACAACATATAAACATATCCTATCATTATAATTTACTTTAAGATACAAAAGAATTCAGATCTTCACACGCAATTAATGTTGAAATCACACACCTACTGTAAAAAAAATTCTTCATTACTTAGCAAAATATCATCAGTAGATCACTTGCAAAATTTCTTCCTAAAATGCCAAATGGGTTTCACATAGCACAGTGAGAATGTCAGTAAATGGTTTTCAAGACCCCAAAGAAAGCACAAAACTAAGCATCTAATGAGTACAGATTGATACGAAAGATTGAACTAGCAAATGACCTTCAAGAAGGGAATTTGATCCATAAGATCAGATGCCCACAGACACAATTTTGAATACAGAAAAGACCACCAAAAAAACAATGATTATGTAAATAGAAGATCCGCATCTTCAAAAGTAAATGCACAAGAAGTCAACAAGCTTCACTGAATACAGGAAGCATGTGGAAGGATTACCAGAATATGGATCATCAAGATTCAGCATCTCCGGATTACCAAGAATAAATACCAGGGGAAAAACAAGATTAATGAAAAGCTCTGGTCATATGCAGTATCATCTGACTAAACTTGTGCATTCACTTGTTCCATTTTGCAAGAAAAAGTGATGTTCAAACATAACAGTTTAACACATAAGGTCCAGAAGAAAAGTTCACAACAACTGGTAGATCTACGATTTTCTGGGCTTGAATGTTCAATCGACCATAAATGTCTGTTGCAAGAGGAAAAGAAAAGACAGAAAAAGAGACATTTAAGTGAGTCAAAGTCCTTGAATCAAGATCATCAACAGAAACCTCATAAAATGGGAGGAATGCCTTGAGTATAGGCACCCAAAACAGCAGTATCAGAATTCAGAATGAACAAATGACAAAAGGGAAAAACAGCAATTACAAACTTCTGATCAGGTCATAAACTGAATTACAGAAATCAGCTAAGAAAAATCACCTTCCAAAGTGCTCACACTCTGGCTTCAACAAGGGGTTAGAGAGGAGAATGAGGAGGAGGAAGAGAAACGATTTCTGGTGCCAAAAGAGAAGGTGACTTCCCCTCCTTAAATACCCCAACTCACTGAGATCTACCATCTTCCTTTCAGAAAGTATTCATGTCAAAGGCCAGATTTTACCAGCTTAGTTGGACACTTCAACACGTTTTCAAGCATCTCTGCAAGTCTACCAAACTTGAAAATGAGGAGAAGGTATTTTAGCCCATTTTCCAATAATAACAAACTTTCAGAAACAAGAGCTTCAATAACTATTGTGATTCCATTGCTCATTCCATAAACACCCACTGCAGTGGCACATCCTCCTGATGAAGCTGGAAGAATACATGTATCCTAACATTAGATGAAGTTCATATACCATAGCCCATAGCCAAACAACTATTCCAATCATAAGATGATGGCATAAGTACACAGAATCAACAGGCACTGCCGACTGAAACGAAATATCACCAAATAGCCAATTCAGAACTTTCACAACGGATCATGTCTATCTAAATCCAGGCCACATATCCTGAATTATCTTCTAACAATTCACAGTCGACACAAGGTCCAAACGGTGTTACCTATTCTTGTTTAGTCCAACTATTTTTGTGACACCCACCAACCGAAGGCACATAAATAGTACAGTGTACAAGAAACTCCAAGAAAAAAGGCGGCCAAACTCCCATTTGCACATTTCTCCACAAAGAAGAAGACCAAAAAAAAAAAGAGTAAGAACATGAGAAACAAAACCAAGCATCATCGAAATTGCAACTTCAAGATTCAATTTTTATCAGACAAAAGAGAGAGTCGGCCAAAGATGCTAAATTTTCGAGAGAAGGGAACAAAAAAATCCCTTCTTTTGCACAGTAAAACAATCTTAACCTTCTGAAAATTATTCGATAACCGTCTTTATTTATCTAAGCGACTTTTGTCACTTCCATTAAAGTAAACAAGAGGACGCTTTAAATTCAAGAAAAGACAGCGACTCGTGACCTAACATTAGGAACGAACTACTTTGGACTTGGAGTGAGACGCAAGCGACCAAATCAATCAAGAATTGAGGGGAGAATTAAGGTGGAGTAATTGCCACCAAATCGGCACCACCGGATCGAAAATAAAAGAAAAAATAAAAAAGGGGGAAAGATCGAGAACGAAAAGAGGTACCTTTTCTTCCGTAAAAATTAGGGTAGGGTTTCTGGCACTTGCTGTCGCAGTCGAGAAGGAGACCGAGGGTGTTTTCGTAAAATTATGATTAAGTGGAGGGAGAATTATCTTCGCAACCCCTTTAGATATTTACAACCCATTTAATTTTTTTAATATTTTAAAAATATATTTATATAAATGAACATAAATATTCATTTTATATTTCCTTTTTTCCTTCCTAAATATTTTTTTTTTCTAAATGTATATTTTTATTTTTTTCTTTATTTTTATTTACTTGATAAGCGATGAGCAACATTGACGATAATAGACGATAGAGTGGCATCGAGCAACATCGACACATATAGATAAAATAAAAGATGTAAAGATAAAAAATATAATTATTGATTGAGGGATTATAAATAATAAAATTATATTTTATTATTTTTAGAAGTCATCAATTGGGGAATAACAAAATGGGGTTGATATTATTTCGTCAAATCATACAAAATGATATGACATTGGCAACATAATCAGTAGGCATTCTTTATGACAGTAGATGGAGAATAATTGATCGAACAATCGATTCTGACCGGCACATAGAATTCATGTGATTCTTTCCTCACTCTGTTCTATCTCATCCTGTTTCCAGACTCCAATCATATGTATATATATAGGGAGATGCAAAGAGAAGATCCAATACGTTTGTTGAATTCGTCATGAGTTGGGTGTGTTTCTGGTGCAGCCATTGACCTTCTCAAGAGCCAATAAGAACATCTCATACAAGAAGACAAGAAAAAGTTAGGAGGGTGTTGGATGAGAATGGGAGTTCTCACAACCTCAGACTCTAGGCATTAGGACAATGTTGTGTTAGGCATGACTTCTACTCGATCATGACAGCTGCAGAGATGCAAGCAGACTTATTGCTTTCTTTGACCTGATCATAGAAAAATCCAGGGGCAAGGTTTTAGCATTTCAAAGACATCAGTCATGTGAATGATGATGATACAGTATAGATGATGAAGATTCAAGTCACAGAAACAACCTCTTTGTGGAAGGCCTTCTCCATGACAACTAATGGTTGCCTGCACAAGGTTCTCCACCTACCAATGGCAGAAGAAATAGCTGCACATGCACATTGGAAAGATGCCTTTGTGCCAACCTGCAGCCTCAACAATTGAAACCTCACCAAACTGAGTAGAAGCATTAGTTTTGTAACATTCTAATACTGTAAAATAAATAGTCAACTCTATCAGCACTTAACCACAAATGTTGGAGTAATTATCATATAATCCCTCGTCACCGACTCTCGTATATTTGAGTCCTTAGTGCCATCCTAGCTGTTGTTTTGCTTCATTCATGATTACAGTGTATCATAAACATGTGATCATGCATGAAGCAGCAGATGTAGGAAAAAAAAAAAATCTAGTTAGCATGGATTTATGTGCAATACATGAATAAAGGCATCATTTTTTGCTTGGAGTTATAGTTGTATAGCTCTGACAGATGATTCCAGCCCCCATGTGAGTAGCAAGGAGAGCATACACTCAACCTGCCATAAGATGAGACATGCAAACTGATTACTAAAACATTTCGATTATAGATGCTTCAATTCACAGATCACAACTGAATCATGATTTTTAACTGAGCTGTTCAAGAGTAGATAGGGAGACAAAGCATCACCTGATGCAATAGAATTATAATCCATTTTTGCACAAATTAAACAGACATTGCCGAGGGGAAAAAAAGAAATTATATTTACCTTGAAATATATAGAGTATATGAACAAGGTGTATAGTTTTGAAGACAAACCTTGATTAACCTTGAGTCTGACAGAATTGAATCTAAGAAACATAATCATGTCAGAATTGCGAAAAAAAAAAAAGTCTCAGATTAGACAAATGAAACAGATAGTGCTGATGAAAAAGATCAGATTGTACTTGTACCTTAGACACATCCAGCAACTTGGTCAAGATCTTGCTGCCCCTGAGAAGTAATCCCCCTCCCACTGAAATCTAAAATTGGTGCTTGTGGGCTTTGAGCTTTAAGTTTGGGCTGATCCAATAATCATAAGTCCCGCATTGCGATAGACTATGACACAATTTGAGGCAATAAATCCATCACTATCTAATATTTCAGGTCCATTTAAGATTTTTTAAAAAGATCACTACTCTAATCATGAACTTGACTGTAAATATAGGGATGACAATGGGAAATCCTTCATCTCCAGTTAGAAATAAATGGTAGCTGCCAGCTATTATGTGCTCATAGGCTTCTACAAAGTACTTGCTTTAACGGTTTGACCCTTGTTTTCTCCCTTAGCCAAGGTGAAGAATATGTATAATTACATGTTTATGTAAACGACATCAACAGAATTTTCTTCTTGAGAAAGGTTGGTTTGTAAATGCATCAGTTGGGTAGTATAAGAGAATGGACAAGCCAATCCTACTCCAGATTAGTAGTAAACATAATATCTGGTTTATTTTTCCACTGCACAGTTATTGGTGCTTGAATCAGCAAGCTGAAGGGAAACAATAAACATGACCCAGAACTGATTGCAGGCAAAATTAAAAGAGAAAGGAAGAGTCAGGACTTCTTGAAAGACACCCAACAGAAGAAACTTTCTTTCTGCAAAGTTGAAGGCCAGCAACTTTATGACCTGCTACAACAGAAAAATTAGATCAACCATTCTGCTACATACTCTTAAAAGAAGAAGAAAAAAAAACAAATCTGCTGTTTAGTCCAAAGGTCATAAGATGCAAAACTTGGACAGAGTTTTCCAAGGTCTCTACCAAGAAAGTTTGTGATGAACTTTATCACTGTAACCATTTACACTCTTCATTCTTCTTTGTGTCCAAACCACCCATGTGTCTTAAACAATAGGAAATTTCCTCAATTCCATGGATAAACATTAATGTGAGATGAGTTAATCAGGGAGTATGAAGAAACTACAAATAGATTCAAGAGTTATTTTGCTTTCTCCAGCAAAGTTACAAGTAGACCAAACTAGTGTGAGTACTAATGGCAAAGGAAAGCCTATTTCCAAGATAGACTGCAAGACAAAGTAGTCATCATTGCCTTCAAAGAGTATAGTACACGAGGCTCTCACCAATGTGGGGTATTCCACCAAATCTTTGCTATGGGCTATCAAAATAATGCCAAAGTTCTAGCTGAATTCATAGCCAACACTAATCTGGACAAGAAATATATTCTTAATAGAAAGATAGCTCAGACACTAAAAAGACTACTCAAGCACGATTAAATTCTTCGTTCCTGACAAATAGCATCTTCGTCGATCCACTTGAAGAACATCATCAGCACAAAGCAACTAAAAATAGGTCTTGCAACCAACAATTGGTAGAGTCAATTTTCTCCGCACCATTTGAACAAATCAAACCAATCAAGACTGTCAAGGCGCCATTTTTGAGTGAGGAGAAAAAGAGAATCTCTACGGCCCTATCTCGTCCAATGCCCAAGATGATATCAATACAGGAACAGAAACCTAATCTGAGATCAGAACTACAAACTGCAATAAACCTCTGACCTATTTCATTTCCGGTGCCCTCCGCCTCCGAGGGTTTTACTGTGCTCCTCCACGCGTGTCGTAAGGTACCCAGCGACGACCGCCCTGGCGTCGCTGCCGCTGCGGTCGCTGTGGCGTCGGAGACTGTCGACGAGGGCCTTCGGCACTCCTTTGTTCGACGAAGAGAATGAAAAGATCGTTCTCCTATATTGATTCATTGATGCAAGGAGAGGAGGAAGATGTTAGCTCAGATTGCAGCAACGGATGCCAATCAGGCTGGACCGACTACTTAGGTCAGTCCTCCGGTGACTGCCCTTAGCTTCTCATCCGTGACAAAGGTGGTTCCTTTGAAGAAGAGGAGGAGGAGGAGGAGGACCTGTCCATGGTCTCCGATGCGTCCACCGGGCCTCCTCATTTCGGGAATAGGACGAGCATTCCTGCTGTTATCTTCTTTCCAGCACTTGGTTTTAGGGTGGCGGTTGCCTCTGCTCTGCCTTGACTCC